AAGACTTTGCCCAATCAGGGCACAGAGAACAGTGTGAACCACGTGCAACCATCTTGGTTGCCATTTTTTGCCGGCTGCAGTGCTCCATTTCTCCTTGTATCCCCGCTGCCCATACAGGCGGGGAGGGCAGCAGGGCATCTTATAGCATTGGCAGGCTATGTAAGCTCAACTCAGGGCTGTGACCTGCTGTCATGCGCAGTCTATCCATCGAATCCTTCGATGTGAGGAGGGGACTCCACCTCCCAGCTTCAGGGCAGAAACTGATTGGTCAACTGGATTCACACCCTCCTTCTCTCTGCTCTCAGGAATGTGGAGTATGCAGGGCATCTGGGCTGACAGAGGTAGACACCAGCACACCGATCAGAGGACCATTAACCCCTAGATCATCAGGTAACACGAAAACATCAATACAGTGCATACTATATGACTCTCCCACTTCTATGTGACAATCAAGCATGTTATTGTGTGACTAAGCTTGTCATTTGCAGAGTTTGTCTATTTGTTTTGACAGTGATTCTGGCAGAAATATAACATCATTATGATGTCAGTGGGTGATGGTAGCTCTGTTTTTTCATGTTCTTTTTGTTAAGTGCACTGGGTATTTAAGGTTGTACAGCACTTTCAATCATTGACACTTTGCCTGATGAAGGGCTCCTGTGAGGCTCCGAAACGTTGCATTCACATGTCACGCTAAAGGAATACGAATAAAAAGGACATTCTGAAGCAGAATGGTGTGCGGACAACATATCTTCTAGATTGCATATAGGGATAGACATGATAATATGGCTTTGCTGACTCTTACTTACTTACTTACTACACTGACTCTGATAATATGAACACTCTGACTCTGGTAATATGAACACACTGTCTGTGGCAATATGAAATTACTGTTAATATGGACATACAATCTGTGCTGATATGGACACACAGCCTTTGGTAATATGTAGACATGTGCACCAGCAACAAAATCATTTTGTTTCGGATTTTGCTTTATTTCGTTTTTCGGAATTTGGTTCCGAAAGTCAATTCGTTTCGGAATTCGGAATTTCGTTAGCAGAAATACGTACGAAAGTTCGGTTCTAATTAATTTCGTTTTCGTTTCATTTGTATGTTGCAGCAAAGTGACATTTAAGAGGGAAACAAGTTTTTTTATTCTCAAATGTCACTTTGCTGCAACGAAATGTTGTCCAATACATCCGAATCTCCGAAATTTCGTCCAAATTTTGATTCGGAATTAAACTAATCGCACATGTCTAGTAATATGCATACTTACTAACTGTGCTGGATTTGTTGGGTCTGTCTGTCACTACCTGGTGCTAAGAAGAAGAAGCAGTGAAGAAGTTGGTGAGTGGGAAAGCTGAGATGGAGCTCACCCACACTCGGCACTCTGCACTCACACCGTGCAATCACACTATCCACACTCTGCAATCACACATACACTCACACACTGGGGGTCCTCTGTGGGAAAAGGCAAAAGTAGGCTAGCCAATTTACATGTTTCCCTGTGGCCTGTGTATAGCTCAACATGCATCTAAACCCTCCTATTCTGCAACAAACCAGACTGGATGAAATCTTGAAGCTTTATTAACAAAACAGGGTTGGAGAAACTGGTGAAAAACAACATGAAAACATGCAATCAATATATAACCATGTAAATTAAGTGATAGCTCACAAATAGAATGCAAAACAAGTCCTCCCCTACCAGCGATGCTGCCGAGGGGAATCTGGGTGTTTTCTCCGAACATGTGCTCAGGATAGCACTAGATCCTCCTTGGTTCCAAGATGGAGACTGAATTCCTAGAACACTCTTATTTTCTTCTTGGGCTAGAGGTTGCTGGAAACCTATCATAGAAGAACAGTATGCTAACTGCTGAAAATAAAAGTGATTTCTCTTTAGCACCATCTTGTAGCTGATTTTAAGATGGCAGGTAGGTAAGTCAATAAATCTCTGCCTGTGGGCCAGAACATTAGGATAGGTGCACAATATTACTGACCACCGTGACTATTATTCACTGACCACTAGCATGGCAATAGCACATCTCCATTAAAGTACTTTGCGTGTAGAGACCATAAACTAGCCATTGTACACAGTGCAGTTTGCTTCAATATACCTTCCCATTGACGTATTGCTCTACTTTCTCACCTACACACCTGTTGGGGCTGTTTCTAAGATTGAAACTTCAACTTCAAAGATATTTTTCAATGAAAGTTAAAAAAAAAAGGCGAAAGCAATTTAAAGTGCTACTAACACAATACCATGTAAGCGTATTGCCACTGTTCTTCTTGGTTTTAATTCTACTTTAAATATATTATGTAAAGCATATTTAGCACTTTACATCCTTCCTCTGAAAGGTGAAATAACACATATTTGAATTTTTTTTTAGTGATGGTGTCATGGTGAGCAAATAGGAAGCAAAATATCTTGACTTTGGCACCTTAAGTATGTTATTATTACTTTGTCACAGCAGAACATTGGCTTGAAATGCACTGGTAATTAATTAGAAAGCGACAGCTATTTTATTATGAGGAGCAAATTGGGATTATGAATCTGTTACCAGTATTGCTATAATTTCATTATCCAAAATGTCTCATAGTTTTATAGTTATTCAGGCTGAAAAGTGACACATGTCTACTGAGTTCTATCATTTAAGAAAACATACTCAGAACTCTTAACTTTCAGAGGAAGGCAAACGTAAACCCTTTATCATCACTAGAAATGAGTAAACTAGCCTGGATTCAATTCTGTTGCTGTTTGTAGAGCTCATGATAAATTCAGGAAATTGCAAACTTTTCTGAACCCCCATTATGTCAATAGGCAAGGGATTGTAAAAAAAAAAGGGCATGGGGAGCTAGGCACTGGTATTGAAGACTGCAATTGAAGAGGAAGACATGAGGCAGAATTTATTGAGAAGTAAAATATATATTGTATTATTTCTGAGACCCTATGTCAGCCTTTTTACTAGGCCACAGCTATACAGTAGAGGCAGAGACTGGGCAGGTTTTTATCATGAAATAAAAACTAGAGTATAAAAATTCAGAGGCAACATCTGAAATCATTATATAGACTTTATAGTTAACAGTTAGAGTTGGCCACGTGTTAAACACTGCACACTTTTCTGGCTGAATATTCACAAAAAAGTGTATATTTCTTACAAATAAACAGTATGCTGTAGGCCACATTTGCAAAATCGTGCATCTTTCCAAGCCCCCAAAAAATATAAAGTGTATACAAAGGCAGTTTATATAGTAGACAGTAGTTAACCACTTGTCGTCCACCCATTGCGAATACAAGGATGGTCAGCTGACTCTTTCCATCGGGTGGACATGCATGTGCATAATGTTTTTTTCTGCTTGCTGCTGGCCCCCCCCCCCCAAGCTTCCATGCCATGTCGTTGCTGATTATCCCGGGCTCCACTGTCCCCCCTGTGGGCCCATGACCAGGACAGTGGCTACTAGCAGTGAGAACAAAAGAGAGTTCAGCATTCTCACACTGATGATCTCTCCTCTTCTATCTCTAAAGGCAGAAGCTATGTATATTACATCACTTTCGCCTTCAGCTGTCATTTCTCTGGCTGCTATAGCCAGAGAGGAAGCTGGTGAAGCAGATCTCTGCTTCATCAGCTTTTTTGGGGGTCCCAAGGTGACATTAGGAGTCTTAGAGACCCCAATGTCTCCATAAAGAGGACCTGTCATTGTATATTGGCTATAACATAGGGGGCTTGTTAGCCCCCTTTGTGATGGCAATAAAGTTAAATGTAATAAAAGTTAAGTGTAAAAAAAAATTGAAGTGTTATAATAAAAAATAAATAATTAAAATAAAAAATAGAATTCCCCTGCCCCCGTGTGCACGCACATATCAACGGACATACTCGTTGGGTGCACCTACATATCACCGCAAACGTGGGAGTGCAAGCAATAATTTTAGGGCCATCAATCACTGATAACACTCAATTGATGAGCGGTAAAGGCATTTAAAGCGTCGCCTGTGGCCAATTTTAGGCATGGCAATTGTTTTGCAATTTTTGTAATAAAAAAAATTGGAAAATAATAAATGTTTCATAACATAATGTAGGTAAATAATTTTTTTTTCAAAATTGTCTGAACTTTTTTCATTTATTTAGTAAGAAATAAAAACCCCAGTAGGGATTAGATACCACCAAAAGAAAGCTCTATCTGTCCCCAAAAAATGGTATACAATTTATTTCAGTACAGTGTTGCATGACGGAATAAATGTCAGTCAAAGTACCGCAGCTCTGAATACTGAAAAATGGCCTGGACACCGCAGTCAGCAAGTGGTTGAACAATTTGTTGCAGGCCGCAGTTACAAAACCTCACACCTCATGCAGCTTTTGAGCTGAACCCCCCCACAATAATGGATATTTTTTTACTAAACAAAGAAGAAATATTGTACAGACTCTATAGACACTATTTAAACTATCTGTTATAGGTCGCATTTGCAAAACCACAAACCTTATGAAGCCTTTCAGGCCAAAAACCCCCAATATAAAGTGTATATTATACATTGGAATATTGTAAAAATTTTATAAACTATTTTTAAACAGTTTAGGGTCCAGTTATAAACAATTTGCAGGGGGGTGTTCTCCCTGTCCATATCTGTGAACATTCAATTTGTGCAGATATATGCCATAACAAATGTTCTTTAGTTTTGAATGTTTTTTCTTGTGTAATACTACATTATGGTCACTAGATGACCCTGAGGAGAATAGAAAATAAATACTTATTTTGTTGGTCGTGAGGAGCATATGACAATAAATAATTATTTCCTTGACCGGGAAATGAATAACAACTAGGTAACCAGGGGATGCTGAACTGCTGCTGCTTATATGGGTATGCCATTCTCGTCAGGAGCCCACCTGGTAACCGGGGGATGCTGAGCTGTCATTGCAACTAGCCGGAGCCAGCCGTGAGATCACAGCTGGCTCCGCCCAGCTGTCAGTTGCAAGGCTTTCAGCTGGCCAATGGTCGTCCTTTCGAAGAGCTCAGGCGGCCAAAGCTAGCCGAAGGATCAGCCGAAGCTACGTCAGCAATGACCGAGAGATATGTTAAAATGCAAAAAACAAAATCAAATAAAGTAGATCACTATAAAAATTAACCCCTTATGGTGATTATCTGCAGTTAAGCTGCAGATTTGTTTTACCCCCTCATGACCTACAGAGTAAACCTTTATCACTGAGGGGGTTATTCACTAAGCTGCCAAAGGGGGGTTGAGTCACTGCACCATGGGCCTCTGGGTTGTACTTGCCCCCCGGGCCAAAAATTGCCAGTCAGCCCCTGGATGGGAACATTTTCATATTCCATTTAGTTGCATAATGATCCTACACACATAGTTGCTCAATAATTCTGCACACATATATATTCTCCTAAGAAAGCAAAACCCTCACTCTTACGTTCTTAAATATTCAGGTTTGAGGTTTAGTAACATTTTGGATTGACCGAGAGCACTGTAGTTGTTCAATAATGAAATTAATCCTCAAAAACACAACTTGCCTAATAATTGTGCACACAGTGTCTATGAAAATATAATTTTCATAATATATTATGAAACCTTATGAAAGCTGTTATGCTTGTTCAGATGTATTATATGCAGTGTTTGTTGTCATACTTACTAGCCGTAAACTTCTCGTGGGTATTTGCTATAAACCTCCAAATATAGGGGAAGAGGGAGAAGTCAATCTTCACTCACAGATAGGAATAGCTGGGAGAGAGGGCAATGTAGTCGTGATGGGTGACTTCAATTACCCAGACATAAATTGGGCCAATGGAACTTCGGGTTCGGCAAAGGCGGGGCGATTTCTAAACATGTTGCGCGACAATTTCATGGACCAGATGGTGGAGACTCCTACCAGAAAAAATGCCATCTTAGATCTAATTGTCACTAATAATGCAGAGTTAATCGAGGATATTGTAATTGGGGAGTCATTGGGTAATAGTGATCACAATGTGATTACTTTTAATATTGAACACAGAAAAGGGAAGTGTACTGGAAGGACTAGAACCCTAAACTTCAGAAGGGCCAACTTTGA